AGGTATTGGTAGAAGAAACCATTTCGGCATTTAGTAGAAGGAAGGGTGAGATTGTTAGAGCAATAGTCTTGTTCTGCTAGTTTGTCGAGGAGTTTAGTTGGGATTGGTTTGGAAAAAGTAGCTGTATTTTCAGAATCAAGACCGAAGATTGAAGAATTGATCTCTAAGTCAGGTGTGTCAATTTCTTTTGAATATTCTTCATAGGATTTTGTTAAAAGGTCTTTAAATAGTTCGGTTGTGTCATGTTTGTGGTCTATGACATAACTGCAGTTTTCGTGTTTGTATATTAAGATATGAAAGTTGAGGTGTCTATAATATTTGTCATGGCGATCCTCATAACAAAAGGATTGTCAGAAAGTATCCAGTTTAGTAGGAAGGTAGTTTTTAAGTTGAAAGACAAAAATTCTACGAATTTTAGATTGAAGAGTGTTGTAGGTATCATCTTTGTTAAGTTCTTTAACTATTACTATTATTAAATTAAAAGATATTTTATATTATAATGCTAGTACAATTTTTTTAGAAGTTTTACAAATTTGCAATAAAACTTCAATTAATCCAAAAAATTATCATTTTTGATTAATAGACAACACTGCATATATGGCATCAAAAGCTAGTGAGGCAATTGCTCAATTTATTATTATTATTTTTTTAATATTAAAGGTAAGACCATACTCTTATTTTTATTAAACTTAATGAAAACTTTTTACATAATTGGAAAAGGTTTTATATTTTAAGTCTAGTGCTAAGAATAAGAACTCAGACTACCGTATGTTTCCGAAAATAAGCTACCTCCAAAAGAAGCTACCCCCCTTTCTCTTGAAGAGAAAACATAAGAAACACTTTTGTTTCGAAAATAAGCTACCTCCTATTAGCCGCAAGTAGTTGCTACATATAAAAGTCGAAGTTTACTAAGTAAATCGATCAAAATCAATTAATAGCGATTTTGATCGATTTACTTAGTAAACTTCGACTTTTATATGTAGCAACTACTTGTGGCTTAATAAAAATTGATAAAAATTAATTGCCCCAAAAAATAAGCTACCCCCATGATTTTTGTGTAACTTTTTAGTCAAAAAAGGGTAGCTTATTTTCAAAAACCTACGGTAACTAAAAATATCAAATAGACAAGACTAGTTTTTTATCTGCAGCCTAAATCTACCAGAGTGGCCAAGACTCACCTAGATTTGAGATAGAATAAAATTCAATTGCTCAATTTAATAATATTTCTATTCAATATCTTTTCAAATTCTAAGCGGATTGTATGTAGCTCATATAACTCTTATGAACTTTGAGAATTCAGCATTTGGAAAGGCAGATACAATCAAAGGTTTATCTTTAAAAAAACATCCATATAATGCTTTTTATTTGGCTTTTTATTTACATGATAGTTACAATTTGAGTGATAAAGATAGTCATTTAAATTTAAAATCAAATATTATTTGAAATTTATTATAAGCCAGTATTTAATTATAAGCTTACTAAATATCAACAACCAATGGGTTAGGGTCCCGTAGTCTAGTGGTTTAGGCGCCTAACCCTTCACAGACAAGGTCGACAGTTTGATTATAGCTAGTGGTAATTAATTTAATTAATTATCTCTGTAATTTTTGGAAGCTTTTGAATGCAGAACTCTGTGGTGGTAAGACCATATAATGTATATATTTGGCCTATAAAGAATTCTTGAAAGGAGCCCCGAGCCACAGTGATGTTAAATGACCTGGTCATTTGAATAATTTTAAATGACTTTAAAATATATAAGTCATTTAAAAGTTATTTGGGTCATTTAAATTATGGGTCATTTAAATTTTTTTTTTTTTTTTATGAATCATTTAAATTAGTAATTAAAATTGCTGAATTAACAGTTAAAAAAATTTTAAACAATTCTAATAACTATATTTAATAAACAATAGTAATGTAAAAAAATATATAAAAATTGTACATATTTCTATTTTAAAATCAAACAAGATTAATTTAAATATTAAATATTATATTATATATATTAAGTACTATAAAGAAAAAATATATATTTAAGTTATTATTATTGTGATCTAAACTTCTAAGAAAATTATGTATTATATTCATTATTCATTTAAAGAACAATACTAATTATATATTAGATTTAATATGTAACAGGTAATATTATACTTTTTCAGAATTAAGTTCATCATAGTGAGAATTTAAATATTTACTTGTAGGTTATTTTTTGTAATATTCATATAAAAAATTTTAAGCCTTTACTATTTATATATAATTAATTAAATTTGTAAAAATTTAATCTATACCTATTTTAGCATAAACACAAAAAGATAAAATTATAATAGTAAGCTTTGTATAATAATTTATAACAATAATATAAACATATATATTTTAGTAAATGAATATCTAAATTTATTTATTACAGGTTTTTCTTGGTACGTGTTGGAATTTGTAATTAATTTAAATAATAATAAGGTAAAATTTTGTCAGGAAGGTTTAATTTTTTTTAAAACAAAAAAAATAGGGAAAAAACTACACAATTTTCAAAAATATTTTAAATTGCTTAATATAAGTACAAGTAAAAATGCCAACAAAAAGGCCTTGTGCATAAGCTATGAAAAAAAATTAACCTACTCTGTTGCAATTAACAATTCTTCATGTTTGGTTACGAATAAAGCTAAATTATAAATTATGTTGCGCATATTTACAAAAATGTGAAAATTTTAAAACTTTATATTCTGTTGAAGAACAAGCTCAAATACTTGCTTTACCAATTCCTGAAGACAAAGAAGACACTTCAGATGATGATAGTAGTTCAGAAAGTAATTATGAAACAGAAACATCTGATACTGTAATAAAAAAAAAACTTCACCTCTTGATAATTATTTTGCTCGATCAATGACTGAAATTGAGAAATTACATTTTGAAAATTTGCAGTTAAGAATGGTTGTATCAAATGGATTAGCATTTTCATATGTAGAAAATTAAGAAACTAAAGATTTATTTCAATTTATATTACCTTCTTATAAATTATCTGGCCGACATGCTTTAAGTAATCGAATTTTATTAAAATCAAATCAGCAATTATATGAATCTATTATTACATATGCACAAAAAGATAAAGCAAGATTAACAGCAACATTTGACAGATGGACAAATATTAAACAAGAACATTTATTTGGTATAGTGCTTATAACTTCACAGAGAGAACCATTAATTTGGAAAGCTTATGATATAAGTGAAAACCGATCTAAAACTGAAGATGTTATTTCTTATATAAAAACTATTATAGAAAATTCTACAATTAATAATATTAAAATTAATTGTTTTGTATCGAATTCAGCTGGAGAATATGCAGCAGCAAAGAAAGTATTTATATTATTTTAAATTATTTTATTTTTAGTTAATTTAATATTAAAAATTTTTTTTTTAGAAGACAAATGTGTATTGAATATCCTAACAAAGTTTTTCTTCCGTGTATGGCTCACCAAATGAATTTAGTAGTTGCTGAAATATTTAAATTATCAAATAACTACAAACAAACATCCTCTAATGCTATTCGATTATTTGGATATTTTCATTTATCATCATATTTTATGAGCAAATTACGTAATGAGCAAAAATTGCAATATTAAAAATTTATAGCATTAGTAACACCTGGAGAACACATTGGAATAGTTTTTACTTTTGCTTTCACAATATTCTTAAAACTGAAGCAGCGTTGAAGGTAAATAATTTTTGCTTATTTTTTATTTTAAATAATCTTATTAAAATAATATTAATTTTTAAAAAATTAGGACATTAGTTAGCAAATTTACACCTGAAATAATTGGAATATTAACTAGTTCAAGAAGTGGATTTACTCGCCAATGTTTTGTATCTACTAATAATAATAATAATCGAATGCTTCCATCAGATATAATTGCAATAGTTAATAATAGTTCTTTTTGGTCAGATTTATATGAACTTCAAGAACTTTTATTACCTCTTTGTGTTGCTTTAAATAAATTGCAAAAAGATGGAGCAAGACTTTATGAAGTAGTTCATTGCTTTGGTTGGATTACAAAAATATTCTCTTTTATTAATGATGAAGATTTTTCAGATCAAATGATAATGCAACTTGAAAGGCATTGGTCTCAATGGGAACAACCACTTTTACTTTTATCATTTGTTTTACATCCTTCATATCGAATTTTTAAATTTAACTTAACTAATTCAAATTTAACATATACACATTTTGGTAAATGGATTAATTATTATTACCAAGTTTGGTTTGAAACAGCACCAGAACAGATTTTAAGAGAATATCTTAGTTATCAACGCGAAGAATATCCTTTTAATAAAGAATCAGTAAAACAATTTAAAGGAAATATAATTAACTTTTGGGAGGCAGCTCAAGACCTAGCTCCAGAATTATCATGCTTAGCATTATACTTATTTGGCATATGTGTTAATGCTGCATCAGTTGAATGCCTCTGGTCTAGCATGGGGTTTCTTTATTCAAATAGGTGAAATCGTCTTAATGTAAATTTTATTTATTATTATTATTATTATTACTATATGCAAATAAATAATAAAGGCTTATTTAAATTAGCCTGATAAGGTTTTAGCTATGTCACAGCTACATGGAGAAATATTGAGAAAACGAACTCGAAATAATTTTGAACAATTGAAAAACCAGCAACAAGATTTAAATAGTAATCAAGAGCCAACTATAGTACTTCCTGATATCTCTTTTAATGATAATCAAACTGAAGCAACAAATTTAGCTTCATCTACTACTTCTAATATTCTTATTCAAAAAGATTCTGAAGATATAAGTGAGTTGGATGCAGATTCTTCAAGTGAAATTTTAACTACTGAACAATGGAATAGTGTTATTACGGATTGGACAGATATGTTGGATAGTGAAAACCATTTAACAAATGTGAATCTATTCAAGAAGACCCCACTGTATTTTGAATTTGTTGGCCTTACTGTATATCCAGCTAATGATCCACTTGCTAAATGGGATTTGGCAACTTTGTTTAATAATACTTTAGATGCACCGGTTTTTCTTGAAAGTATATCGCAAAATTCTATTTCCGGTAATTATAATTTGACCTAAAATGCAAATTAATGCTATTCATAATAAGGTAAAATGAGATTATAAATTAAGAGATTTTATATATAATATTTAAATATTTTATTAGTATTAGTATACTACGAATAGTAAATAAGAATAACAAACTGATAACTTAGTAGTAACAAATTTATCATAAATCTTATTAGTATTAGCAAATTATTTTTATTATCTACAAAATTTATCAATAAAAAGTTTTTTTACATGCTATATATCAACAATAATAATTATCTCACTTTTAAATTATTTGGGTTTTTCATATTTTGTATAATGCCTTCGAACTATTCAATAAAGAGCGAATTCTGTCCAATAGCAACATGGGCAAATATCATGTGATATACCTTTTGAGATCGCCAGAGGTCATTTGGGTCATTTGCTTTTTTTAAATGACCAAATGACCCGTGATCAGCTATTAGTCATTTGGTCATTTCAGGTCATTTAATATCACTGCTGAGCTATGGGAAGACTGGGCACTGTGTTTGATATAGGTCATGGAAGGTTTACTGTAGAAGGTTGTGCATGTGAATCCACGATTGGCAAGATAGCACCAACAACCCTAAGGCGGTATTGGGATCTTGATTGGGAGGACGGCTGTATGCGGTATTTACAGAAGTAGTAAAAAAAACGATAAACATAGTAAGGGCTGTGGTAAGCAGTGTTTGAAATTTCAGACCTAAACACTGTTCTTATGAGAACAGTATAATATCTATAGGTGTTCTCACCATAATGTTTCTGTTCTTACTTAATGATCATAAAAAAAAAAAACGATCCCAATTTAAAATGAAGTGCATATATATATACACATCGAATTTTTGATTATATTTTAAGCATATAGACTTGGAATAATATGCAGAGTTGTACTTTCAAATTCAAATTTTGGCCTATATTAAGCTTAACTCAGGCCAAAATGCCAAGCACATTATTCCGAATTTATATAGTAAGTGCTTATAATAACATAAATGATAATTTAAATATTAATATAGAAATAATTTTTATATCATTTTACTAAATTAATACAAATAAAACAAAGCTATAATGTTGTAATTGATTTATATTAATATAAAGACCAATAAATAACTTATATATATATTGCTAACTAAATTAATATGAAGATGAATCTTTTAGTAGTTATTTACAAAATTAATTAGTTTATCTAAAAAAAAACACTAGTTAATAAACTTATTGACTATATATAATGGATAAATAAACTTGAATTGCTTATTTGTAATTGATTTATAGTTTATTATATTGGAGTTTTAGAATTAACTTTTTTAATAAATGGGCATTCAAAAGATAATATTTCTTTTTTTAAAATTCCCAGAAAATTAAATAGGTTTAGCTGTGATAAATTGGGGTTTTTTTGATGTATATACCTGTAGGCAATTATGCAAATAAGTACATACTTCAAAAAAAATAAAATTTGCATATATGTCACTTTTTTTGAAATAAATTTTTTACTTATTTTACCTGAAATTGGATGTTGAATCATTCTGAAACCCCATAATACTAACTAAATTACTGCCCTATTGTGCAAAATCTTTATTTTTCATTTTTATATTTTAAAAATTTCGCCAAAATTGTAATTTTTCAAAAAATTTCTGATATTTTTAATTGGTTAACTAAATGTTAACTTTATTCTTATAAATTTTAAATAAAAAATCTTGCCAAAATCTTATTTTTAATAATTAAAGCTATTTTCCTATTTACAGCTTGAAAATAGCTTTAAACATTTAAACTAACCAGGTCATTATTTGAGATACCTTTTCTCAGATATTAAAAATACATAATTTGCAAAGCGTTAATGTAAATTAATAGGGTGATTCAGAATTACTTTAGTATAGTAAATTTTCTTTCGAAACTTGATATATTTCACATATATATATTAAAATAGTATATATTTCAGCAATTACATACTAAGAATAGAAGAATGTTCTAATAGTACTCATAAAAAATACAACTAATAGTGTTTCAGAGTTTACTCGTTTTGAAAATAAGTAGGGGTTTGAAAAGTAATATTTTTGTTTTAAAATATCGAAATTAGAAAATGAAAAAAGAGTTATCTGGAGATAAAATAGATAAGTTTTTTTTGATGATGTATATTATATTTTTATAAGCTTGCAAATAAAAATAATTAGGATTTATAGATCGCTAATTACCAACTTAATATTAATTCAATTCAAAATCAGAAACCTAAACTTATAGCTGTTTCATTATTTCTGGGATACCTATAAAAAATTAGCCAAAAGATTTTTCGGTCGATCCAGTTATGTTATTTTTTTTGCATTATATATTTAATAAAAATTAATATAATATACATAATTTAAAATCAGGTAGCTAATATTATGCACATCTCTTGTTGAATTCAAAAAATATGATACTTTCATACCATATTCGCCAGCAAATTATTGAAAAAAATCTAAACTCAAAAAATTGCAAAACACATAGGTGTTAGCATGTTTTCTATAAGTCAAGTTCTTGTGCATTTTCAAAGATATGGTTGTATTGAAAAGCTTCCATCACTTTCAGGAAAACTACATTCTTTAAACATGAATGATATAAATTTTCTTAAAGTTTTAATGAAAAAAAACCTGACTGGCACTTGTATGAATTACAATCTGAGATGGAACTTTGGTTGGGACGTAACATTAGTCTTACAACAATTTGGAGGGCTATACACCAACTTGGATATACGCACAAAAAGGTAATATTTTATATATGAATAAGACAAAATATTTATTTAAAATAATATAAATTTCAAAAAAGTAATGTTTTATATATAAAAAAGACAAAATATTTATTTAAAATAATATAAATTTTAAAAAGCTATTTATCGAAATGTTGAACTTCACCAATATTAATAGGCATGTTCATAATTAAATTCATTATAGGAGGTCCATTTAAAGAAATCATAAGAATATCATTCAAAGTATTTGAATGTATTCTATCTCAAGGTTTAGTTTTTATAAGATTTTGCTTTGAAAAGACACATTCAACATAAGCATTAGAAATAGGTAAACACAAAACAATAGAAACAATAGTATAAATATTAGAATAAATTAAAGCAAAATCTTGATTGTCCTGTAATATATTATACCATGTTTTGGTAATATGTAGACTATGGTAATTAGAAAGAATTGATCGAATAATTTGCCATTCTTGTACAAGATTATCTGCATTAATAATTTTTTGATATTCACGTTCTAATTTTTTATTATATATATTTTTTTAAACGGTACCTGCTTTATTAACTTCAGTAGTTAAGTGTCTCTTTTTATCGAGACGTACAAGGTTTTATCAGTACAAAAACTTCTAGAAACTATACCCCCAACCGACTCTATAACAAAGCTCACTCAGCTGCTCTAAGGTGCCCAAGTGTAACCATCTAGCCACAGACTTTACCTCCCTTTTGGCCCTAACTTGCTAGGGGGTTTCCCTCCGGATCAACAGTAGGCTGTGCTCACCTATTTAATTCATATACATCCCGCTATATATACTACTATACAACATCTACCAGTTATAATCTACCCCTCATCACTTATCACATTACTCCTAATTCGTATCTTGTATAACTTCCAAATTGGTGTTCTAGAAGTGGGCACTCTTCTTGCTTCCAGTTTGGTATTCCTCAAGTATGTTACTTAAGAACCTAATCCGTATCTCAAGCCAGATGCTACCGCCGTCTGAAGACCCGTATCTCAAGCCACCTGCTGCTGCCATTAGGAGAGCTGTTTACATGGGTCCAGATATTAACATCATACATCTCTTAATTAGAATACCACCCCTTTTTTAGTACTCCCTATCAGTATGGTGATACAGAAGTCTAGATCCTTAGGACAGGAGTTAAGAACCTCATTTAATTACTGCCACAAAGCAATAACCCAGGACCCACGCTTCTGCTGTGTTTCGTCATAGACTCCCATATATGTTGTGTGACTATACTTACTAGCCATCTTTATGTTCATACCACTAGGGTGCTTGCTTCCATGCTTTTCAGGGTTTCTTTTAACTGGTTTTCTTTGTTTCTTCATTGTGCCAGAGGTGTTCCATCTTTGGTAAAGTCATTCTCTTACCACAGCTCCTTACTATGTTCACCACTTCTCTCACCACTTCTGGATATACTGCATACAGCCATCCTCCCAATCAAGATCCCAATGCTGCCTTAGGGTTGTTGGTGCTACCTTGCCAATCGTGGATTCACACGCACAGCCTTCTGCAGTAATAACTTCTGTGACCCATGTTACATGTAGTGCCTAATCTTCTCCATAGCTCAGAACTCCTTCCAAGAATTCTTTATCGGCCAAATATATACTTCACATGGTCTTACCACTACAGGTTTCTGCATTCAAAAGCCCCCACAGGTTATAGAGATAATTAATTTAATTAATTACTACCAGCTGTAATTGAATCTCGACCTCGTCTGTGGAGGGTTAGGCACCTAGACCACTAGGCTACGGGACTCTAACCCTTAATTTTTTATTATAATAAATAATTAATTAATTAATTATTTAAAGTATAAAATTTTTTTAATAAAAAATTTTTACTATATACCTGCAGTTTTTTTAGAAATTCCATAAAATTTCTAATTTTAATAATCTCACCATTTCTATATGTTGAAATTAAATAATGATCAGTAGATAATTGTTTTGGATCAAAGATTCTAAATTAATTTACAATTACACGATCCGGGAAACGAAGCTTGATATTTTTTACTGTATTTATTGAAAATTCTCGAATAAATAAAAGAAGATCATCAGCTAATATATTTTGTTAATTCATATATCGTAATAATATAGTTCCAAATGTAGGTTGTATATTTGCTTCACTAATAAAGTCAATTGTAATAGATTCAATAACTGCATTAACTTGTATTGTAACTTTGGAAACTGAAACATAATCAGCTTGAAAGATTAAAGAAAGGCAGTGAAGTTGTGAAAGTATATCAGCTAAAAAGTGTGTTGCAATTAAAAAGTCTTGATCAATATCATTATAAAGTTGCTGTGCAGTTTTTTGACCGACCTTTAGATGCATCTTTTGATAATGCACAAATTACTGAATTAATAATTTGGTAAAGATTGTTAACAACATTATTTAGTGAAAGCTATCAAGTTTTAACAGCTTGTAAAATATCTAAATTAGGCTTATCTAAACTATTTTGAATCATTTGTAAAGAATGTAATTGTGAGTATGATCGGCTAAAGTAACTATATAATTGTTGAACAGTTTCATCATAAATTTCGAAATAAGGGGTTTGCTTAGCTGCATCTTTAGATGCAAGTGCTAAATGATGACTTATACAATGGTGTTCAGTAAGAAATGGAAGACAGGTTTTTAATTGTGTTGCTATTCTATTTACATGTCCTAAAATAATTTATATTTCAATAATTATAATTAATAATAAAAATAATAAACAAAATAAATAAATATATATTACTTAAATTAACACTTGCACCATTGCTTCCAAAATGAAAAAGTGTTTCAAATGGTAAATGTTTAGCAAAAATAAACTGGTCTAAATTTTTAAAAATTGCATTTGATGATGCATTATAAAGTTTAATTAAACCTAAATAATGAAAAACTGGCAAATTATATGATATATGCTGTGAAACAATAGCAAGGTGTTTTTCATTTGAAATTGTATTACTTTCATCAATCATAAGACTCCATGCATTAAATATTTGTAATTCATTAAATATAGCTTCTTCAACAATACATGCAATTGCTTTTGTAAATTGTTTTTCAGCTTGATTGTTAATATATGAACTATATTCACTACATGTAATTTGTGTTGTAGTTGTTTGATCAGGCAAATTTAAAAGACTTGCACCACCTAGAACAATATTTTCTTCAAAATTTTGTATTTGTAAATCAATAAGACAACATAAATCTTCAAAATTAAGTGTAGCAATATTATGCTTTATAAGAAAATAAATGTTCATCATTTTTTTTCATTATTTGTAATTGGTTAAACTTAGCATGCTGCTATATACTAGATATAATATTGACTTGATTTTTACTATGTGTAAATAAAATTTTTTTATGATCAGATCATTCCATATGTTGTCAAAGATATTGCTCTTTAAAATATTGAGTACCTGTTACAAAAATATTACTACATTTTGCATCAGTACACCATGTACAAATCATAAAATTTCCATTTTGTCGCATTACTAAATCAGCCCATGGATAAGTTGTTTTCCAATTTGGATTTTATTTTAAATTTTCTTTAGCAAAATGGTTGTTTTTGGATTTTTTTAATTCAATATTTTGGTTATCATTTGAATCTTCATTAATACTATCAAAATAAGGATCTTTATTAAATAGACTACTTTCATTATATAATAATCCAGATGTTTGAGAAGTTTGAGAAGCTTGTGTGATAGAAATAAAGAAAGTAATTTTACTTTATGTATAATGTTCATGATTATTTTTAAAACTAGACATTTTAAAATTGCTAAAAAATTCACAATTTAAACAAAATTTTATAGATTTTAGATATGTAAAGTTAAGTAAAAAACAATTTATATGTTTTTTATATAATTTTTAAAATCTTATTTGTATTCTATTTAAAGTTTTAAAAATGAAATAAAGAATCTTAATAATCAAGTTCAAGAACTTTAAAAAAGAAAGTTCTAATTAACTTTTCTTTTTTGTTTAATTTATTTACACATATTAATAAATCTTTTTTATTTTTATTTTTGTACAAACTAAACTAGTGTTCCTATGAACCGAACTGAAACCGAACTTTGGTCAAGTTCAGGTTCAGGTTCAGTTCAATCATGTTCAA